CACCAAGTGCTATAGTAAAGGTGTAGAAAGCATATTCTTCAAAGGTGAGGAGAAGCACATCAGATGGGCAAGAGGAGAAAGGTACATGCAAGCACGTGGTGGAATCAAAGGTCTGGGTGTGAGAACATGCCACCTTCAGGGAGCAACTGCTATTGATTTTGCAAATGACATAAAATGATAAAATTTATCAGAAGAAATTTCAAGTCTGCTCTTAACTCAACTACTGGTGAGTCCAAAATCAGTGATTTAGAATCAGAATTGATTTCACTGATTTAGCTGGGTTTTTGTAAATCAATGAAAGGATGGATAATCAGTATATGTTTCTCAGGAACAAATCGTATTTATAAAATATGCTTTGTAATAATTAACTATTAAAAATATCTAGTGGCCTAAACTCTTGGGCTAACCACATAGGATGACATTTAAATTTCAGTGACTAGGTACATTAAAAATAAATCAAGTGGCCGGACTTGCCAGGAGTCTAAAAGGAAAGGAAAGCTGAAGCTACGGGCAGGGAGCATGTTGGAGACAGAGCTTGGCAGGAAGTGGGACTGGTGCATGCGGATCCGGTCGTGAAAATAGGTACTGGTTTGGGATTAGGACTTGTTTTCTCACTTACTTTCTTTAAAAGAAGAATGTATCCATTAGCTTTTGGTTCTGTCATGGGGTTGGGAATGGCCTCCAACTGTCAGCCTGATTTCCAGGCTCCATATCTTCTGCATGGAAAATACGTCAAAGAGCAGGAACAGTGACTGACATCTGAGAACATCCCAGTGGGAGGAAAAGAGAAATCATGTTTATTCCTCAGGAATACTGAACTGCCCTGGAGTAAGCTGGCATTCTCCTGTAACAATGTTATCAGTAATGCTTTAAACTCCAGTACACTACTTATATATTTGAAACTAAGTCTGTTTCTTGTTTTGTATTTTCTCTCTGGAAATTGTAAGGAGGTGGTCTTAAAAGAAATAAATTAAAAATAGGAAGCTCCCTCCAAAATAAATAAATAAAGTGAGTTATTTATTGTTAGGTTTTTCTAACTGCCTCTTGGTTTTTAAATGCTAATCTTGAAAAAAGAAAACATCGATTAATACTATTGGCCATTTACTTTTCTTAGGTTCCTGGTATTTGCCAGAATGTTATTCTTTTAAAAAATTTGAACCCAAAGTTAAAGTTATAACCTACTCCACTGCCTTCTCTAAGGCTTGTACCTAGATCTCAACTCAGTTCTAGGCACATAGCAGATGTTCAATAAATATATATATAGCTGATAAAGTTTAGCATTTAGAGCTAAAAGGCTCCTCAATAACTAAATATAATCAGGTAAATAATTGTACATAATATAATATCTACAAAAAAGCTTACTAAATTCAAATCTTTTTGTGTATGTATAAATTTGGAAAGTAATCCAAAGCTTTTTGGGTATGCTCTCCAAAAGAGAGATCACTTGGAAATACCTAAATCCATTTTAACTTTAATCCTTAAATGTATCAGGAACTAAAAGGCAAGATAAAAAATATTTAAACTGTGTAGGATTTTACTTTTTTATATGA